AAATGCAGGCTAAGTTGAGCCTGGACTTAAGATGAAAGTTTCTCCTGACTGGAAATAATATTAAAGTTTTATGGCTCAACCAGATTAGGATGATGGCGATTTAATAAAAAAAAAAAAAAAAAAGAAAAAAAAAGCGGCCAAAAAAGCAAATATGTTGTTGTTATACTGCGATGTTATTCAGGATTTTACAAGGATTTGCTCTTAGAAACAGGATTCTCATCTACCAGTGTTTCTTTACAGACTACCACGCATGCTACAAAAACAAAACACGCAGCAGCATGCCAAATTGTGAGCTCCAGAGAAGTCGCAAGCTTTATTTTGAGCCCTAATGCTAATTTTAGCTGAACAGCCGCTTGCTCTTGTCTCATTAGGTGCAAAAACAAAAAAAATAGACATTTGAGTATTAAAAATGGAGATGTTTTAGAAATAAGCAGATGGTTGTTTGCCGTTTCTGATTTGTCTTTTATGTGTCTCCAGGTTCGATGCCTGTAGGTTGGACATGACGTGTGCTCGCAACTGGGCCAGGGACCCTCGGGGCCAGAACTGCACTGGGACCTGTGTTCAGTATCAGCAGGTAAACACAATCCTTGTACATTTGTCATCGTTTCTGTTTTTTACCTCTTATTTTCCACAAAAATAAACACTAATATTTATTTAATATCCTTAAAAGACATTTGCTGTATTCCCATATCACAGTCTAAAAGACACACCATAGAAACGGCCATTGTTCCTATTGTTATTATTAGGCTATGTGTTTGCCTTGCATATAGCTTCATAGATCTTTCCATCTCCATAGCATAATGCTGCCACCACTGAGTTTCACAGTATGGACAGCATGTTCATCCTCATGCACTACAAAAAAACCCACAAAATCTTACCAATTATTTTTTTAGTTTAGTATCTAGTGCAAATATCTTTCACTTATGGAGAAAATGTCTTGCTATAAGTGAAAAAAATCTGTCAGTGTAACTAGTACCCTTTTATAATTTTTGCGGGGCAAATCCGGTGTAAAAAACATAAAAATAGAACAAATACATACACATTTAAAAATGTTAAAATATAAAATTTAAAACCACCAAAATACACACTTTTTTGCCACTATCAGAGTTCCATACAATGTATTTCGTGGCGGTGACTTACATCTTGTTCAGCAGCATTAACTCAAATACTTTCTGCTCAAATCTGCCCCGGTACTGAGGGCTATGGGGCTTATTAACGAATCACTTACTTAAAACAAACACCTATATTTTGCTGAAAATGTATTTGTAAGTTAGTTTATAAGTCTTATAAGATATTTACACTGGAAAATAGACAAAAAATAAATAAATAAATACTTGGCAAGATTTAGTGTTTTTGCAGTGTGGTGGCAGGCATGTAGGCCAAAAAGCTCCGTTTTGCTTTATCCTGACCAGAAGGCAAATGGAAGCAGCAGCTTTCTTCTGGCAAATTTTGTAGCTTGTGGTTCCAAGAAATCAAAAAACCAAAAAAAAAAAAAAAAAAAAAAAAAAACCCAAAAAAAAAAACTTTTAAAAATAAAAAAAAAAAAAGTTTTTTTTTTTTTTTTGTTTTTGGGTTTTTTTTTTGCTTTTTTTTTTTTTTTTTTTTTTTTTTT